ACACACACACACACACACACACACGCACACGCACACACACACACACACACACACGCACACGCACACACACACACACACTCACACTCACACTCAAACACATGTAGTGTTCGAATGCATGTCGGATCAAGAGCACGCAGCACAGTCAATTTTCTTTATAAAAAAAAAAACCCTTCACTCTGCAACCCTGTTCTGGTAGCGGTCGACTGTGTTCTATTCGTGATATTATTACTAGTATATAATATATACAGTTTTATACGTGTTATTATTACTAATATTTACTATATATAGTAATATACTTTTATCCTCCCCCCCCTTGCCTTAGAAAAGTTGCACCCTAAAATTCGTTCTACAAGGTACCTCGTACCTTGGATTCGTATATAAGGTATGTATATTGTTTTTGGGTTAAGACGGTGGCGACACGGTCGACACTTTTTTCCGTTTAGAAAGCACGACCATTTTATTTGCCCAATGAATATATGGCATCCTTGCACAGGGCCCATGCTAACTTTATTTGTATCGATGTTCCAAAGGACCATAGATAAATTTTTGTTGTCGACTTCGTGGCAAACAATAGACTCAAAAACTCTTAGCTTGGGCTCTCAACTTCTCACACACTTGCACTACTATTAGGCTGAATAACTCAAACACGTGTTAAACGAGGGCAGGGAACATTCAAACAACAAAAACAACCAACATTGTATTCATTTATAAAGAGAAAGTGTTTTTTTTTTCCCTCAAACGTATCGTCTATTTGGTTTACACAAAACATAATACTAAGTAGTCGTTTTGTTCAATTGGGGAACCTTAGTGTTTTATTAAACCACTACTACCCTCATCGGCCTAAATTCACTTTTTCGCCTATACAAACCGGGTTCTTAAGGGGGACGGCGACCAGCAGGCGCAGGCGGGCCAGGTCCAAGGATTTTAAAGCATCAACTTTTGTGATTTTTCTCACTTATAAGAAAAAAAAAAAAAAAAAAAGTTTGAGATCCTGTGGATTACATTATGATCTTTCTAGAAAAAAAATCAAAATAACTAGGTTACTAGAGTGGCCCGGGGTCACTTGCCCGTCCAGGCAAAAAAAAAAAAAAATAATAAAAAAAATAATAATAAAAAAAATAATAATAAAAATAATAAATAATAAATAACAAATATTATTTTTTATTCTAAATTTGGTGAAGAATTTCAATGTAACCCTAAGAAAAAAGTTATTTAATTTATTTTTCTACATATTTTTTTTTTTTTTTGTTGGGACCTTCCATGGTCCTTGCACGGGTTGGCCACCCGGGACCCGGGCGGCCCGGCTGGTAGCCTAGCAAAATAATGAAAAAAAAAAAAAACCGTGAAATAAATGTCTCACATGTTCAAATTTTGTCACTCAACCACATGCGGGCAAACAAAAACGTACCCTGACTTCCACGATTTTTTGCGCTCAAAAGGATAACTCAACAACTGTGCAAATTATAGGGTCTGTGGATTTGGTTATTGTCTTATCACAAATAATATTTAAAATTTTTTAAAAAAAAAAATGGACTATGAAATATGTCGCGCCAATTTGTCAAATATTCTTATTTTTTTTGCTCTGTCACGTGTCCATCAATGGGAAAAGTACCCGGACTTCAACTATTTTTCACGTCGAACACAATAATGTAGAAAGTCTGAAAATTGGAAGGTCCGAAAATTTCGTCATGGTCTTTCAGGAAAAAATATATATTTTTTGTAAAAATCATTTTAACCTTAAAATAAATCGCAACGACTATTTTATGCATTTTCTAATTTTGCCACTTCGCTAATTATCCCCATTGTGCTCCCAATAGCCCTCATGGACATGTGCTACTGGACCCCCTAATTTAGGACCGGGGGGGTGGTGGTGATTTAAACCACCACTACCTTCGATCATGTTTTTGTTGATCTTGAATTTACTTGCGCACCGAGTTTGACCGATCCTAACAAAAAAAATGGAACGCATGTTTGTTTGTTTTTCGACACCTCCACAAAAAAAAAAAAAAAAAAAAAAAAAGTCGAATGGTTCAAGTACGTGCATGAAAAAGACAGAATGAGAAAAAAAATGAAACAATGTTTTGACCGTTATAGCAGTCATCTACATTTTCGCAATGACCATTGTGAGTATGCCCTTACTGAGAGCATTTTCAGTAGAGCATGGAATATGCCCTCTTTTGTTGTTAGGGCAGTAATATCTCAATAAACTAAAACAAAACAAAACAATTACACGGATTTCGCCTTGATAATGACCACACACATTCTTTGCAATACTAGTGTGAGTAAGACCTCCGCCACGGCCTTCTCCGACACCAAAGATCTGTATATAAAAACAAAACAAAACAAAATAAAATGATTGCATAAATTTTATCCTGATAGTGAGCAGAAAAATTATACGCAACACCAATGTGAGCATAACATCTGCCATAGACTTCACTGACATCATTGATCACGATGTGATGTTTCATTTTTTTATTTTTTTTTTGATGAGCGGTTCCACAGGGGATGTTTTTTTTTTTTTTTTAGTAAAAGTCACACACTTACATCGAACCTCTGAACGTTGCAAAACAGTCAGTTTCCAATTAGGACTGTAACCTGGAAAGGTAGTGATGGTTTAAGAAAACCAGTTACAAAGTTTTTCATGTGTAAAATGAAATGAAAACAAATTGGATATAATCTAGGCTACCAGAGTAGCCCAGGGTCACTTGCCCGGCCAGACCAAAAATATTTAAAAAAATAAGAAAAAAAAATTATGTTTAAAAATTATTTTTTATTTTAAATTTGGTGAAGAATTTCGATGTGACCCTGAATAAAAAGTTATTCATTTTATTTTCTGCATAACATAGTTGTTTTGTGGATTTTTTGGATTTTTTTATTATTATTATTTGTTTTTCTTGGACCTTCCCTTGTCCTTGCACGAGCCACCCGGGACCAAGGCGGCCCGACTGGTAGCCTAGGATATAATGCGTTTATGTTTATTAGTATATTTAAACACCCGTTTAACTTTACAATTTGCAGTGGTACCTCTTCACCTAACTATTTGATTATCATATTAATTATGTTAATAGTTCATGCCTTCAAAATCTTTATTTTGTTCTGATAGTTTAATCTTATATCATATCTACACTCTATTTATACAAACATATATCAGTGTAGGTTTACTTTTTATCATTACAGTACTCTTTATTAAAATAATTAATCATTTTGGTTAATTGTTTTCATTTTTTATATGTACTAGTATCAGTCAACCTTTTTCCATTATAGTCACTCTGCTT